CAGAAAATAAACCAGATAATTGGAACAAGTCTCAGTCAAATTTACCAAGACTTGGACAGCTACCAGTAAGGCGCTAAAGAAAACTGACTAAAAAAGTTGGGAAAAACTATGACATGTATAAAGCAGCCTCAGTTATTAGTGTAATAAATAAAAATGATTCTTTGTTGTCATGTGTCTCTGAGATAATTACATGTCACTCCATAGATGAAAATTGTGAAATCTTTACAGTTCGCTGTGAATCTATTATTCAAAGTTCCATTCAAACTGAAGAAGTTTTGATAAATGAGATTTTAAAAGCTAATGTATGTAATGATGCAAATAAACAGCAAAACACTGTTCAGCGTATTAAATATCTGAAATCATCTTTGATTGGAAATATAGAATGGAGTAAAATTGAAAACGAACAAATGATTAATGATAATATCATTCATTTTTGTCAGCAAGTCATGTCAGTGCAATTGGGTATCAATATTGGTCTGCAAGATCCTATCAAAGGAAAAGTTCTATCCTTTAAAATACTTCAAAGCATTCCATTTGTTCAAATTCTACATGATGGCAATCTCCACTGGGTTTGTGTGACCACTTACAATTGCAAACCAGGAGAGATATTTCTTTTTGACAGCCTTTTTCATGGGTCAGTTTCTTTTCACACAAAATGACAAATATGCTCCATTCTGCATTCTGATCTAAAATATAATGTTATTTAAGTATTACCCATTCAACAGCAAACTAATGGTGTTGATTGTGGAATGTATGCTATTGCCTGGGCTGGACAAATCTTTGAGGCAAAGGGTGTACCATCAACTGCAATAACATTTGAGCAAAATAAAATGCGAAAACATCTTCTACGTTGTATATTAAACAGCCAGTCAGATGTTTTACCACTCGCTGTTAATTCAAATGGGTTTTGCAGATGTGGAGCAAAGACATTTTGCGTACTTTTAGATTGCTCATGTCACATGTTTTGGTCTCCTAAAGATGATAAAATCTTTAACAGGTAAAATATATCATTTGAGATATTGTTTAATTTTCTATAATATTAACAATAATAATATAATAATCAATAGTATAAATAATAACATTAGACAAAATTTATTTTCAAGACAAACGGCTCAATGTAGCACTTGCCAAAAATGGTATCATCGCGAATGCGAAAAGATACCGCAGAGTGCCTATGAAACAGAAAATGAACTTTGGAATTGTCACAGCTGTAAGAAGAGTTTGTCATAAAATTGAGGCTATAAAAAGAGTTTGTCATGAAATGAGGCTTGTATTGTTTTTTATTTTATATATCTGCCAATAGTTTAAAAATAAAATCTTTTTTAGGCATTGTCTTAAGTTGTTGATAATTATTGCAACTATAGTATTATTGCAATAAACCATTTTACATGTTGATTTAATGTAGTTTAAATCTTTCACTATAGATTTATACCATTTTGATGACACGTATTTTTAACATTTGGCACAAATATACTGTTGTCTTTGTACTGGTATAAAATGCCTTATATGATTTGGTTGTGTCATTGTGCTGGTGATATTTTTTGACATTGAACTGCTTATACCGAATTGGAATTGGTATACTAATGAAATAGAGCCTTTTTGTGGTATAAGCCGTTAGGGCTATATAAAAAGAATATATATATATGAGATGCATCTCACAGGAAAAGGTACCAAGTCTTGAAAATGGAGTTACTGATACAGTTGCATAGAGGATAATAATAAGACACAAAGTAAAACAAAAATTAACTTGATAGCATCATTATTGTTACATTTTTTTTTTAAATAGTTTTTCAAGGAAGTGTTTTAAAAATGAAATTACAGTATAATGACTTATAAAAGTTTGACATACTTTAAAACTGTGTCACTTTAAAATAGTAATAAAGTTAATGTATATTTTGATTATTTATTTTAAAAACTATTACTAAATATTTATAAAACTGCTCGAAAAAAGAATAAAGTTAGATTCAAATTTTTCGACTTTTTTTTTTTAAAACGCGTATATCTTCGAGTCTAGAAATAAAGACTTGGTACCTTTTTCTGTGAGGCGCCTCATGTTAGATTCTCTCTATTAATATAGTGAAATAGAGTGTAAAATGGTTTTCCAAATAATGAAATCTGTGAATGTTTCTTACTTTTTTTTAGGGCGGTAAGCGTATCTTGGCTACCTTCACGTTGGTGCTTACTGATAAAAATAATTTCAAAAGGTTATGTTCAAATACTTTCCTTTTGATTCATAACTAAATGCCAAGACGAAAAAGAAAATTCATCTAAACTGATTCCCTTTTTATAGACGCTAAATATAAATAACACAAAATTAATCTGAGAAACTTTGATAAAATGAATATAAACTAATTGTAAATTTTAATGAAAATGAAAAAAATTATTTTTTTGTTTATTTGGATAAATGAAACCTTGTACTTTATTTGTATTTGTTAAATTATGTATATATATATATATATATATATATATATATATACATATATATATATATATATATATATATATATATATATATATATATATATATATATATATATATATATATATATATATATATACATATATATATATATATATATATATATAGAGAGAGAGAGAGAGAGATAGATATATATATCGATATAGATATACATATGTAGATATATAAAAAGAGTAAAGTTATTTTTTTCCACAATTTAGGGATAATTTACTTTTTTGTGTGTTTTTGTTTTGTTCTTTATTAAAATATATAATATACAAATACAAATATACAAGAGAAAAAGTACAGGTAAAGATAACGTAAATATAAATAAATAAATAACGCAGATACTCAAAGAAAATCTTCAGGTCTCGTCACAGAGAGCCCCCGATGAAGAACTTAAAACATGATGAAAAACTTATACTAAGTATAGAGGTAGTTATATAAAAAATATAAACCGCCGATGAAAAATCTAAAACTTATACAAAGTAGAGAGGTAGTTATATAAAAAAAATAAAGCAATATGATTAAATAATCCTTTTACAACTACAAAAAATAAATAAACAAAAAAAATACAAGTACCGTAAACCGGGGTAACTTTGGCCATTTTTAAAAAGTTTAATTAAACATTTGTAACTTTGAAACAGTTAAGTAACGTTTTATTATTTTCGTTTTATTTGTAAATGCAATCTTTCTTGCTTAAACTTTGATCTGAAGTTTGTTGAAAATGCTTTTTACTATAAGTGAAAAAGAATAAAAACTACATCATGGTAAAACACCATCAAAAACTGTAAAACAAAATGTTGTCTGGGCGAAGATAAAAAATGATTGCAAACTACTCAGTTTTTCTTCTGTTTTAAAGACAAACGTTCAGATAAAATTAGGCGAAAAGTATTTGTCTCAAGTAACAGCATTCTAGTTTTTTTTACAGGGTGGTCAATGTTACCCCGTAGGTTTATTCTCAAGTTATCTTCTTTATTAAAATTGGTACAAAGTTACCCCGGTTTAATAAATGAAAAGAGAAACATTGAAATCACCTTTTTTGAGAATATAACTTGTTGCGGTTAAGTTAAATAGTTGCTTTTTTAAATTCAAGTTTCGTTATCATTTCATTATTTATACTAGTATTTATACTAGTTATAATTTTTTAATCGAAAAGAAGTTTTTGTGGTTAGTTAGCTTTTTTTTCCTCTTCCTCTTCACTTAAAACAGTCCAAGTCCTCTTAATGTCAAATTTATGTTAATCAAGCTGATAAAAAAATACCTTATTTTTACTTTTTTTAAAAAAATGTTTGATAGTTTTAATGCTTTTATGAAAATTAATGTCATCCATAGATTCTTAAATTCTTTGCTTTTTTTCTGCAGTTATTTTTGGGTATATTTTTTAAAGATATTTTAAAATAAACTTGAGAAATCATCAAATGCATATTATTATATTTGGATCTTTTAATAAATAAATTGTTTTTTTATGTCATTTTCTATAATTTTTATATATATATATATATATATATATATATATATATATATATATATAAAATATATATATATATATATATATATATATATATATATATATATATATATATATATATATATATATATAAATATGGCCGGCTCGAGTAGGTGTCACGTGGGGTTGCCTATGAAAATTATGCTGACTAAAAAAACAAATTTAGCCGATTGACTTGTCTAAAAGGGTCAAATTTGCTGACTAAATGAACGAAAAAACCATTGATGTGGGACGGGAGATGGGTGAAGAATACTTGAAGAGTTTTGAAAGTGTGTGAAAATTATTCTTATTTTTTCGTTGACTTTAATCTGTTTTTCAAAGTTAAGGAAAAAAAGTACAAAAGTAGGTTAACAATATAAAAACACAACTTTTTCGCATTTATATACTATATTTAAAATTAGTAATAGTGATTCACCACGACGCCTCCTTCCCGACCGCCTCGACCACCTCCACGACGTAAGTTGTTGCGGAAAGTTTCAAAATCTCTACCGCCATTGCGTCGCCAAACCTTGAAAGCACTACGAGATTTTGGCCCGTCGTGCTCTCGTCGCCAACTTAGAAAATCGTCCCGCGTAAGTTCCATAAACTGTTAAAAATGTGAAAGTAAGAAATTAATAACGAGATAAAACTAAAAGTTAAATGTGCAAAAAAAATAACACATACGTTTCCTTTTTGGTTCGCAAATCTTTTCTTGTGGTCCTTAAATAAACTTTTTGCATAAACATTTGCTTACTAGTCAAATTTTATTATAAATATTATAATTTTATTTATACTTATCTTAATCTAGCTTGCACAGATTTCTAAAGGTTTTTAAATTGTAGATACTAGTAATGCAAACACATTTCAAATACCTTGGAATAACTCAACTAATGATTCATTACTTAAAAAGTGAAAATAAATTTAGCAAACCAAACAAACTTATTATTTATTTTTACAGGTAATGATGAGCTCTTGAGGATAGAAAAGTCAACAAACACTAATTCATTCAATATTAACTTAATAACGTTCAGAATATTTAATATATAAAATACACAGATAAACATTATTTTTACCCAGCAATGCTTTTCTTTAAGCTAAAAAAATTTTTTTGCATTAATGCAACTTTTTACAACAATTTTAGCATAATTAGTAAATTAGTTAAAATTGCAATACATACTACGTACCTAACTCATCCTGTTTGCGAACTATGAACAAAAGTACATTTTAAACTAGATAAGTAATTTTAACAAAACAAAACAAAATGTAAATATTAAACCAGATAATTATTTTCAACAACTGTTAATATTCAAACTAATTGCAAAAACTTTACTTATTTTGAATTTGCTTAAATAGAAGTAAAAAAGTGGCTCCAAATTATACTTGATTAAATCGAAACCAACCGATTTTTTAACATTCATGTATTCCCACTTGTGTGATATGCATGGCTTTACATTATATTTATAACGTATCATAATTGATATTAGAGAAGAGTCAAAGTACTTTTTTTTAAATCATATAAACCTTCTTGATTTTTACCTGTTATACAGATAAAGGAGTATTTTATCACGCAATTCTACTACTAGAATAATTACCGTCCCAGGTTAATGTGCTACTCCGCCTACCTTTACTCAAAATTAGGGTTTTATATCATAGTTTCTATTCTGCTTTCACTCTAGTCGAGGAGCTCCCCCCCCCCCCCCCCGATAAATGAACTAGATTTTGAAAGGTTACATATTACTAGTAACAGGATAACCTTAAATTGACTAAAATATTTGATATTGAAACAAATAAAAAAATAGTAACAGTGTTTATAAAAAAAAAAACATAAGTAAAAGTTGTAAATATCTATAAAAAAACGTTTACGCACAAGTGTTTACATAACATTTTGTTAATAATCATAACCAGTTTATTATCATTAAAAAAATTTTTTTTTTTACAACTAACGATGACCAATTTTGTAGCTATGACAATGGCTTTTTCAAAGTTATTTTATCATAAAAATAAGTACAAACAGCATATACCTATTTCCTCATTGAGTGTTTCTAAAATTAAATCACCAAAATAATTCAATTGCGTATCAAAACAAAAAATAAGTTAAACCACAGAACAATATAAAAGATATTACCTTGCTTCATTTGCATTTCTTTTAAAGCTAAATGTGAAATGAAGATCATTAAGTTTAAAAAAACAACATTTAAACCACTAAATTTTATGATTATAAAGCTTACCAATTTCATCTTCCTCGGCTTCTGAATATGAACAGGTTTCATTAAAAAAGAAGAGTTGAATTAAAACAAAAAACAAAAAAACTAATTAAATTAAAAAATTCAATATAATAAGTAAGTTGTATAATAAACACTGTAAATGTAACAACCCAATTGTTTCAAGACTTCTCTTTCTAAAGATAAACAAAACGCATAGAAATGTCATCAAATAAAACTACGCTAATCTTGAATCATAATTATTAATGCTTTAATAGAGGTATGATGAGTAATATATGTTAACTTAGTAAACATAAAACCAATATTAATTTAAATACCTTTATAATCTTTATCATCAACAGCAACTATTTTTAAAATATATATTAAAAATATATATAATTCAAAATAATCTAATTACAATTACACTATCACAAAGTAAAAAATCCAATAAATCTTTATAGCAATAAATAAAACTTCTAACAATTACCTACTATCTCCTGGATTGAGAAAGGGATGGAAGTGTTTATTTCGGTTTCAAGTCAAGCATCACTCTATCTGAAGGCTTTTCCCTATTTTTCCCTCAGCTGGTAAGTTATTATAGCATAAATTTTGTTAACCATTAAAGAAATATAAATATATATAAATGTATTTCCTACTTATTTAGTTATTGCTTGTCGTGTATGGATTTCCCATTTGCTGCAATTTATTAATTTAAGTATCTACCTTTTGTGCTCTACCTGGTAAGTTAAATACTTTTAAATACTCATACTTTTTAATGTGCAAACTTTACAATATGTTTAACTTTAGTTAAACATATTGTAAAGTTTGCACATTAAAAAGTTTTTAATATGTTTCTTAGTCATGTGCTGCAACTTGTAATTTAAAAAACTATTATATTTCATGTCTATGCATTTCTCACTCTTCAAAATATTGATTTTTTATTACAACTTTGTAATTTTAGTATCTACCTCTTGTGCTACACCTGGTAAGTTTTAGTACCTGGAAATTTTAGTATCTACCTCTTGTGCTACACCTGGTAAACAACTCTTTTTAATGCGCACAAATTTCTCATTGATTGCAATATTGATTTTTATAATATATTTTTTACCTTTAGTTCTTTCTACGTGTGCTACGCCATGTAAGTTTAAAAATCTTTTTTCTTTTAACATGTGTATGCATTTCTTATCAATTGCATATTCTTTTTTGAAATTGCATTTCTTATCGACTGGTTTTTAATTAAAACTTTTTTTATAAAGTTATATCTTCAGCTGTCACGTCAAGTAAGTTTAAAAATTATTACTTTTTAGACTATGAATGCATTTATAACCATTTGCAATTTGTATTTTTTATTGAAACAAATTTTACTTTTAGTTCCATCTGTACCACCTTCAAACAGTAAATTTATGTCTCTGATTGATTATTGAGTTCCTCTTATTCCTATTTATATAATCTATTTAATACTTTTGTGTTTTGTTATATGAAGCTTATAGGTCATTTCGAACTTAAAATTAAAATCATTAACTAAAAGCCAAAACAGAGTAATTATATTTTTCAAAACATTTTTATATATTTTTTTAATCTTAGGTTGGTGGGTTAAATATGATCATTTAAATGAGAAAATGTATACTAGTACAATATGTAATCTGGTAAAACAATTATTTATTGTGCTTTCTCTTTTTTAATAATTGCATAGTAAAATGTTTAAAATGTCATTTTTATGTGTTTTCTTTTTTTATGTTGGTTAAGTGGTAGGGGGAAAACCATCCCTCTCCTCAAATTGTACATCACCCATGTATGTTCTATAGTAAAAAAATATTGCTTTATGTAATACAACAAAATCTTCAATACTAATGCATGTTGTATAGTTATAAAATATTATTTTTCGTCAGGTAGGGGGAGGGGGAGAGGTGGTGCATCATACTTCCTTTATTTCAACTCAATGTGTACATCAATAATATATGTTGAGTAGTAATAAAAGATTATTTTAAATTTTTGACAATGCATTTAGTTATTGTAGTAAAGATAAAATTATTTTTATTTTTTATGAGTTGAGGGGGGGGGGCAGTGTGACATACACCCTCCCCAAAAGTTAGTGTTGTACATCTCTAATAAATGTTTTATAGTAAAAAAGAATATTTTTACTTTTTATTAAAATATTTAATTACTGTTAAAAAGATTAAATTATTTATTTGAAAGTATGATTATTGTATTTAGGGTGTTATAACATGACAACCACATCTATGGCCAACTTTAAGATCACCTTATTTTGTTTGGCAGTGTTTTGGAATCAAGTTATTGCAATGTTTTGTGTATAAAATATAACAATTACATTTAAAAAGTGCTTATTTCTGTATTTTCTTAAGGGTTAGAGAGTGTTTCATTACCCCCTCTGGCTCTCAAGATACACCCTACATCCAGGCACCAAAATGAACTTGTAGCCCATTAGTGCACCTATCTTGTGATACTAAGATATAGGTATTAGAATAAAAATTGAAAAAGTTATAACAATTTAAGTGAAAAAAAAAAATTACATTGACCACAGTATTTTCAACAATTCCAAATCTAAAATTTGCTACCAAAAATGTTATAACTTTTTTTAGAATTGTTCGTTTTTAATAATTTTTTCACCTTTAAAATACTGTATTGAAGGCCTTTCTAAAGATAACATTCTACTATATGATCAATATCAAAATTTCATTGCGCGTACAATATATATATATATATATATATATATATATATATATATATATATATATATATATATATATATATATATATATATATATATATATATATATATATATATATATATATATAGATTATACTAGATTTCACAATTGACTTTAAAGAAGTTAACTTTTTATTAGTTTGGTCATTGGTTTCCATTATAACTTTTTAACTAAAATAAACATAGACAATTAGTTTTATGAAATAATACAATTGTGTGTGTGTATATATATATATATATATATATATATATATATATATATATATATATATATATATATAAATAAACGCATATATATAAACGCATATATATATATATATACATATATATATATATATATATATTTATATATATATATATATATATATATATATATATATATATATATATATATATATATACATATACATATTATATATATATATATATATATATATATATATATATATATATATATATATATATATATATATATATATATATATATTGTGTATCTGTGTATATTTAACATATGCAACCTATATTATAATTTTATATATTTATATAATTTTATATACTTATATAATTTTATATATTTGTTTAATTATATATATATATATATTTAATAATATATATTTATATAATTATATATATATACATATTGTATATCTGTATATATTTAATATATTCAACGTTTGTTATATACACACATATACAATAATATTGTAAAAGTGTGTATATAATATTATTATAAACACACATTTATACATATATACCTATAACTATACTACACATGTACATATATAACATACTAGATATGTACATATATAACTATACTGCATATATATAATTATAGTATATATAGAATATTATGTCAGAAAAGCTCGTTTTATAAAAATCAAGCGTGCTTGTTTTTAATTTAAACGCATGCGTACAAGCAGATGAAAACATTCTAGGTCTGCGTTTTTTTAAAAGTTCAAAATATTATTTTGAATCATACGATAGAACGCTAACCAATAGTTACATCAAACCAAAATTTCAAAAATAATTACAAGGCATTACAGTCATTCTGAGTAACTTTGAATTTGCGGGTAACATTGAACTCAACGTGTAAATGTTTTTAAATTTTTTTTTTGGTATTTTCTTTGCCTGTTGCTTTAACAAAGAATAATATGATGAATTATCTTTTTTTACAAAAGTTTGACCAAAGAAAATTAAATTTTATTTTTCAAAAATAATGTTTTCCTCCATTTCCAGTTACACAGTCGAATGTGGTGATAACATCGTGTGTTTTCAATTTAGAATATTTGGTATTATTTTGTAATTATCTGAATAGATTTTTAAGTATTTTATTGAATTATTTTTCGAACTTTAATACAAACTCAAAATAATAGGATTTAACATGTTTTTTGCTACAAAAAGGATATTTATTTTTAATTAGCTAAAATATAACCAAATTCAGGGTAACTTTAGACAATCAATATTTTCCAAAAATGATTTTTTTGCTGTCTGAGTAACATTGCAATAATACATAATAAATAATAGGCATCCTTTTATTATAGTATTTTTATTATATAATGATATATGATGTTATTAATATCAAAAATTAGATCTATTACTATTATATTATAATAATTTTTGATATTTATGGCTATCTTGATAGATTTAATAACATATTTTATTAATAGCAATTATGCAATTAATTAAATAATTTTCATTAATAACATAAATCATCTTTATATTTTTAGCATTCATAAAATGCCAAAAAATGTTCGACAACTCATCCTGGCACAAGAAAATATGGCACTAAATCTAATTACACCAATTCTACACTTCAAGAGGCTTTAGCTAAAATTATATTTGAAAAAATGTCGATTGGTTAAGCTTCTAAAACTTATAAAGTACCTAAAGCAACATTATTTTATTAGCTAAAAAGTAAACACTGTAAATCAGTAGGGCGCCCTATTGCCCTTAGATGGTATTGCCATTGATGAGGAACTTTGTTTTGAAAATCACTTACTTTATTTAAGTGACAAAGGTATACCAATTGGAATTAATGATTTTAAAAGTATTGTCAAAATCTATCTGGATGATTGTGGAAAAAATATCAACAGTTTAAAGATAACCGACCAGGTTGGGAGTGGTGTAAACTTTATCTTGGCAGGCATCCATCATTATAAAAAAAATCTCATTGTATTTCAAGGAAACGTGCACAGAATAATTATTGTCAAATAAAATTATTTTTACAAAATCTAGAGAAGGAATTAAATGGAGTAACGCCAAATAACATTTACAATATGGATGAAACAGGGTTTCATGATGACATTGGAAAAAAAAACTTATTTTTCGTCGATCCTCTCGCCATCCAGAACTTATAAGAAACACAACAAAAACTTGTTACACTGTTGTTTTTTGTGGAAATGCCTCAGGAAAACTAATTCCACCATTTTTCATTGTTACAGGAAAACACAGTTGGTTTGACTGGCTTTTCAACGCACCAGAAGGATCAAGAATGGCAACTTCTTGCAGTGGCTGGATGGAAAATCAAATATTTGAAGAGTGGCTGTTAAATCACTTTGTTCCAAATATTATAAATAAGGAAGGTAAAAAAATTCTGATTTGCGATAATT